AAACTACAGTATTGTAATGAATCCAGGATTGCTCTTTTTACTTAGAATTGCTTTGATTATTCTGGGTATTTTATTCTTCTCTACAAATCTTAGGACTGTTTTTTTTTCTAGTTCTGTGAAGACTGTAATTCGAATTTTGATGAGGATTGCATTGAATCCATCTGTAGATTGCTTTTGGCAATATGGCCATTTTAGCAATATTAATTCTGCCTATCCATAAACATGGAAGCTCTTTCCATCTTCTTCAGTTTCTTTCTTCAGTGTTCTATATTTTTCATTGTAGAGGTCTAATCCATCCTTGGTTAAATTTATTCCTAGGTACTTAATTTTTTGGTGATGGCTACTGTAAATGGAATTGTTTTCCAGATATCTTTCTCATAAGATTCATTGTTGGTGTATAGAAAAGCTATTGATTTTTGCATTTTGATTTTGTATCCTGTCACCTTGCTGAATGTATTAGCTCTAGAAATAAAGAGCTTCTGGTGAAGCTTTTACAGATCATCTTAGTATAGGATCATATTATCTGCAAATAGTGACTATTTTACTTCTTCCTTTCCTATTTGTCTGCCTTTTATTTCCTTCTCTTGCATAATAACTCTGGCCAAAATTTCAACTACTGTATTGAAAAAAATGGTAAGAGTGTAATCTTTGTCTTATTCCTGATCTTAGAGGGAATGCTTTTCGTTTTCCCCCCATTTGCTATGATGTTGACTTTGGATTTGTTATATATAGTCTTTATGATGTTCCTTCTATTCCTAGTTTCTTCAGTGATTTTATCATAAATGAGCACTGAATTTTGGTTTTTTCTCCATCTATTGAGAATGTTATGTGATTTTTGTCCTTATTTATATGGTAAATTACATTTATTACTTTTTTGAAATATTATTGCATTTGTGGAATTAAACCAACTTCATGATGTCCAGTCTTCTTACTGTGTTGTTCAATATTATTTGCTAGCATTTTATTAAGGTTTTTTTATGTCTGTGTTCATCAAGGATATTGGTCTATAGTATTCTTTCCTTGGTGTGTCCTTGTCTGGTTTAGGTATCATTGGGGTTTTTAAATAATGATTTTCTAAGGTTTTTTTTGTGATGACTTCATACTGTACTAGTGTAGAGGTGTATCAAAATTTACTTATGAAATCACCTACTGATAGATATTTAGATTGTTTACTGTCTTTTGCTGTTACAAACAATGCTGCAAAAACACCCTGCTATCTTTTATGCAAATGTGCATCTATAACTGTTAGCTGAATTCCAGGAAGACAAATTGCTAGTTTAAAGGCATTTAATAGATAGATAGATCCTTTTGACCTGCATATCCAATTTGAATAGGTAGATTATTTTGATATATATTTCCATGTTGCCCCCCATCCCAAAGAAAGAGGTGATACCAATTGACATTCCCACTATCAGTGCATCAGACTGCATATCTTCCCAATTCCTTTATTCTTAGACTGTATATTTTTACTTTGTCTATCACCACTATCTATTTTCCAGGTTACTCCTTGACTCTCACAAGTCTTCCACTCCCTCTGACCTATGGGCCATTATTACCTTTTCACTGGTTCTCACTCATCTTCTGTTTGCTTCTTCTGCTTCCATTTTATGATCTTACATTATAATTATTCTCGCATGCTCTCAAATCTGTTACTTCTCTTTCCCTTTCTTGTAACTGACAGCCAAATTCCAGGCCCAATAAGCCCAGCTCTCTCCCTGTGTCACACCCAGAAGTTCAATGTGATTGGAAAAAAACGAACAAGTATGCAGACGATACTGAAAATTCATAATCTCACTCAGGTAGGCCTTTAATAGAGTCCCAGTGTATCCCTTAGCCCATTAACTCTCTTCTTCTCCTAAAGAGAGAGTCACAAATGTGCTATTTTATTCCTATTCCTTTCTCCAACTCTTTAACACCTTCTGAACCCTCTATTGATGACTTAACTTTGTACCCTGCTGAGAACTTCCACATCCACCATCACATTTACTGGTCTGCCAGTGTCATTGCCCACACTTTCTGCCTTCTTTCCTGTTACAATGGATACACTGTCCATCTGCCTGTGTAAAGTCAATCCATACATTGGATTGAATCCCTTCTCACTTACTCAAGGCCCTGTCTCCATAAATTGTTCTTTCTCTCTTCTGCATCATTGCTATGATTTAGATATACATTGTCCCCCAAAGATTCATATGCAGGAATCTTGGTCCCCAGTGTAACAGTACTGAGAAGTGGTAGAACCTTAAGAAGTAGGCCTAGTGGAATATGATTAGGTCATTGGGGCCACCACCCTCTGAAGGGATTAACACCTGTCTTGCAGGAATGGGTTAGGTTTTATTGGATTAAATTGATTACCTTGAGAGCAAATTATTATACAGTGAATATAACTTTCTCACCTTACCCTTTTGCTTACTCTCTCACTCGTGTGCTCTTCCATATGTGTTCTTGCTATCCATCATGGTGTGATGTAGCCAGAAGGCCCTCACCAGGAGTTGATCTGATGAAGCTGCCTGATATAGGACTTTCAGCTACCAAAACTTCTTTCCTTTTATAAAGTATCCAGTCTCAGATATTTTATTATAAAAGCACAAAACAGAGTAAAACAATCATCGTTTCTTTCTATTGAATCATTCCCATTGTTACCATACATGTTGTAGTATTTCCCCATTGGGGAAAAAACTCATCTATTGGCTCCACATCTCTTCTCACCAGTACCCCACTTGTCAGCTTTCCCACACATACTTCTCTTTAGAGTTGTACAGACAACTCTTTTATGTTTCCACCTCATCTTTTCCAATTCTCTCCTGAAACTCATTCCAATCAGTCATTTATCTCCACCATTCACAAAAACAATTTTAATCAAGGTACCCAATAATTACTTCCATGTTGCCATGTCCAAAGATCAATTCTCAGTCCTTACTTTACATGTAACCTATTTGCAGCATTTGACAGTTAGTCATATTCTCCCCAAAATTTCTTGCTATTTCTGCTCAGATTTCATCTTGTTAGAAAGGACTTTCCTGAGCATTCTGGGTTAAATAGTCAACCAATTGATCCTTTCTACTGTCCACCCCATGGCCTACTCTGTAGTATAGATTTCACCTGATCAATTTTATGCTTGTTTATTGGGTTCCTCCATTATTTCAATCTTAGTTTGTATAAAACAACAAATGGCATCTTTGAAATGATAAAGGATATTTGAATATAGGCTAGGTATTAAATGATATTAAAGAATTACATTGGGCTGGGGATGTGGCTCAAGCAGTAGCGCGCTCGCCTGGCATGTGTGCGGCTGGGGTTCGATCCTCAGCACCACATACCAACAAAGATGTTGTGTTTGCCGAGAACTAAAATAAATAAATAAATAAATAAATAAATAAATATTTTTTTAAAAAAATAAAAAATAAATAAAGAATTACATTAATTTTTGTTAGGCGTGGTGTTCATGTGAAAAAATTTAAAAGTCCTGTAAGTTAGAGATGCAGAATGAAGTATCTACTACTAGTGAATTGAATACTATTTGAAATTTTCTTTTTTTTTTTTTTTTTAAAGAGAGAGTGAGAGAGGAGAGAGAGAGAGAGAGAGAGAGAGAGAATTTTTAATATTTATTTTTTAGTTCTCGGCGGACACAACATCTTTGTTGGTATGTGGTGCTGAGGATCGAACCCGGGCCACACGCATGCCAGGCGAGCGCGCTACCGCCTGAGCCACATTCCCAGCCCTGAAATTTTCTTTACTCAATAAATAAGTCCAAAATTTTGGGCATGAGCAGTTGGGATAGTGGAGCTGTTATTTTCACAGATTTTTAAAGACTATAGGAAGAGGCAGTTTTGTAGGAAATGAGTAGGAGAAAATAATGGGTTTGGTTTGCACGTGGTAAGTTTGAGATGTATATAGATACCCAAGTAGAGACATTGAGTAAGCATTTGGATACAAAAGTCTAGAGTGCAGGGAAGAGATAAACATCTGTGAGTCAAGACAACATGATATTTAAAGTTATAAGAACATTTAGAAAATTAAATTTAACTAGAAAAAAAAAGCAAGAAGTCATCTAAGGACTAAGCCTATTATAGCACTCCAAAATCTAGAGGCCAGAATTGGGGGAAAGTCATCAGAAAAGATGAGGAAGGAGTGGTCACTGAGGTGGGGGAATAAATATGGCAATCTGAGAGCCAAGTGAGGAAGGGCCTCCTCACCAAGAGTTTCAAAAATGGTTATATAATTAAAATATTTAGTGAATGAATAGAGCATAATAATTTATTTCTCTACATCAGAATGTATAATAATTTGGGGCTGGGGATGTGGCTCAAGCGGTAGCGCCCTCGCCTGGCATGCGTGCGGCCCGGGTTCGATCCTCAGCACCACATACCAACAAAGATGTTGTGTCCGCCGAGAACTAAACAATAAAACATTAAAAATTCTCTCTCTCTCTCTCTCTCCCCTCTCTCACTCTCTCTTTAAAAAAAAAAAAGAATGTATAATAATTTAAGATATAAAATGTCAAAACTTTTGTGATAATATTTTAGATTTTTTAAATAAAATATTTTTATGCAAATTGTGGTTTGAATAATTGCTAAGTATTACTAATAATTTCAGAATTAAATTCTGGTTTGAATTATTGTAGTGGACACTTTTTTATTTGTTTCATACTGGGAATTTAACCCAGGGGTGCCTTACCACTGATCTACATCCCCAGCCCTTTTTATTTTTATTTTGAGACAGGGTCTTGCTAAATTGCTTAGGGTCTTGCTAATTTCTGAGGCTGTCCTCCAACCTGAAATCTCCCTGCCTCCCAAGGTGTTCTTGATGAGAACAACTCAGTGAGAACCTAACTCTAAATAAAATATAAAAAAAGGGCTGGGGATGTTGCTCAGTGGTTAGGCACCCCTAGATTCAATCCCAGTACCAAAAAAAAAAAAAAACAAAAAAAAAAAAAAAAAAATTTTTTTTTTTTTTTTTTTTTTTTTGGGTGGGTGTGTGTGTTTTTTTTTTTTTTTTTTTCCAGAGTTCTTTCTTCTTCATGGCCAATACTCTCATCTCCTAGCTGCTTGGAATGTCAGCTGCTGTCTTACAGATGTATCCCTCACTAAGAATACCCTTGGACTATAAGAAACTGCCTCTCCTAAAGGTACACACTCTACCAGTAGGAAGTCCAAACCAAATGACTGGCTGAGAGTAACAATACATAACCTGGCCCCTTCTCTCAGTTTGGGACAGCTATACAACTATACATTTATATATAAATTTATATACATTTATCTGTAAATATATTTGAAAAGCCAGGACATTTGTTCCGTAGAGTTTTCCATATGCTGTAGTCAAAGCAGTTTTGCATAAATGTATATAGATATGCATAATTATGTTCTTTTATGTGTCTCCTTTTAAGGACATCCCTACTCCAGAACTCCCTATAGGACAACTGAGGATTGGAATGAAACCTGACTGAGATCCATTCCACTTCATGCATACCATTCCACCTTCCTCACTTCCCCAGAGGCATTTCTCCAGTAAACTTCTGCAGGCAACTCTCCACCTCAGAATTTGCATCTAGGGAACCCAGCTTAAACAGTGTTCTACCTGAGGAGGCGCTGTCCCCCAACGTAATTGTGCCATTTTCAAAATAATCTAGAATTTATTATTTATTGGAAAAGCCAGGACATTTGTTCTGTAGAGTTTTCCATATGCTGTATTTGTCTGGTTGTATCCCTGTGTGCATTCCTTATCTGATCCTTCTGTAAACTGGTAGTATAGAGGCTTAATTACATTCACCCCCACCCATTTTCAACCTTGTGAAATTTAAATGTTGGCTTCTGATGCTAAGAGGAGGAAAATCCAAAGCTCCCCAGGATCAGAGGAGATTACTCATGATTATATGCGCCCCTTTCCTACCTCCCTCATCCCCCTTCATCACATAGACTTGGTATCTGCAACCGAAAGCCATTCCATTTACACACTCAGGACTGGGAACAAATGACTGGAAAATGTGTTTACCTGTGTTTAGTCTTTTTTTTTTTTTTAAAAAAAAAACAACCTACATTTAGTCTTAGACACTAAATACCTTCCTCCCAGAGTATGATTATCTTTTTCTTACCCTGTAAGGAAACCAAAGACAGCAACACCATCTCTAGATTATTTGCATGTAGAATTCCCTGTCGTTATTAATTTTAAAAGCCATCCTGGCTTTCTTCTGTCAAACGGTTTGATTGTGGATCACATTCTTTCAACGACAGCTGGTTAATCATCATGCTTTTATCTGGCACCTGCTGCGTGATCAGCGTCATTCTTGGAGAATTCATGCTGATTAAATTCCCTGTAAAACAATTAGGAAGCTGTATCTTGTTTTTGCTCTGTCCTCATCTCCACCCCACAGTTCACACAAATTTATTCCAAAAATCAAATAAATATTCTTTCTTTTGTATCAATTCACTGTTTTTGAATTATCTATACTATGCCCCATTCTGTTAAGAGTTGATAACACCTTAGACAATTATGATTTTTCAAAGCAGTTTTGCATAAATATATATAGATATGCATAATTATGTCCTTTTGTGTGTCTCCTTTTAAGGAAATGTGTTAAGATTTTTTTCCCCTTCATTTAGGTATTTAATGTAATTACAAGCAACAGAAACCAGGATGAGCTGGCTCAAGGGGGAAAATCTTATTGGAAACATATGAATCTATCACATAGAATCCAAAGAATTGACCAACCAACCATGAAGGGCAGAAGCCAAGGAAGCTCTGGAGACCCTGGCAACAACTGCTTTGGAAACTTTCCTTTCCTTTATTATGCCGTTAACATGACCAGTCCAAACTCTCCGTTCTCTGTGTATCACAATTTAAATTCAAAATCTTCTGGAGGGGGCACAATCTGATTGGTTCCCATGCTCTATATCCTTCAGTGCCCAATACAGAAGCCATCAGCTACATGTAGCCATGGAGCACTTGAAGTGTGACTACCACAATTGACAAACTGAATTTTTTTATCTAATTTTATTAACTAACTTAAAGATTAAAGCAAAGTGAAATATTTTTCTGTTGCACACAACTTTCTTATTTTGGTGTAAACTGAACACATTTTACCTTAACTATTAAAATTTATCATTTAAATTGAGATGTGTTGCCACTGTAAAATATACCAGATTTTGAAGACAGTATGGAAAAAAGAGAAGGTAAAATGTCTTATCAATATTCAAGTTTTTAATGATTACATGTAGAAATGATAAAATTTTGGACATATTGAGTTAAATAAAATATTCAAAAGTATTATTTTTACTTTAAAATATAGCTGCTATTACAAGAAATGTTGCTATTACTAGAAAATTTTAAGTTTTACATATAGCACATATTATATTTCTCTTGGATAGTGTTGCTTTTATAACTACTGAGGATTTGCTTCTGAAGATTAAGCACAATTCTAAAAGACTGAATGAAAGGTCTGAATAGATTGGACACCCTCAAAAGGATCAACTACCCGGTATAAAATAACAAATAGAGTGGTTTCTGGGAAAACATAATGTGCCCAATTTTTAGTGGAATACATCTCTTCCACATTATTTGGCTATTTCATTGCAATGCTCATTATACCATTAAGTAGTGTTAAAAGCTGTTATCTCAGACTTTAACATTTGATACTACAAATATTCCCATCTAACCAACATTTATTAACAAAACCCCCATCCTTGTGAAACTGAAAATCTAGTAGCAATGAGAAAGATTATAAACAGGTAAGTATATAATGGCCAGTTATAAATAGATGTCCTGAAAAAAATAACAGGACATGCTCCTTATCTGGATGATTAAGAAAGCCAGATCAGGTGACAGTAAAAGAGAGATTGGAATGAAGGAAAAGGATGAGTCATGTGCCTCTCAGGAAAATCAGTTCTCGAAGTAGACAGAATTAGTTTAGCATGTTCAGGGTCCTCAAGGAAGCTTCTGTGGCAAAACACAGAGAGAAAAGAGAAGAGTAGAAAATGGAGTCAGAGCAGGGAGTTGAAGTCATATCAATTTCACGGTCCTCAAGATGAGGTAAATCTGAGTGGAATCCTTTGCAATGCTGAGAACAGAGAATGACCAGATCCTATTGATATTTTTCATTATGATTCCACAAATCATATAGGTAGGACTTGATTTTATGACCCAATTTTTTTTTTAATGTGGAATTTTCCCCTCGTGCTTAAATAAAGGATTATCAACTCTTACTTGATTTCCTGGCTCTGAATTAATCTTTTGAAAAAATTAAATGAATTGTGGAAAAATAATACAAATTTGCAAAAAAAAAAAAAAAAACAATTGAAAATTTAAATCCAGAGCTATTTCCCTTCTGAATTAATTTGAATCCTGAAAATTTTCTATGCCCTTTCTATGTGTATGCCCTTTTCTACACCAATTCCTACAAATGAAAATTATAGGACACAATTATTTACCTAAGGGAATAAATGTTATTCATGGAAGAAGCTTTCTAATGGATAAGAATTCTTCCAATTATTTTGGATGCAAAGCTTAAAAAAAAACAATAATTCATTCAACTGCCTTTAACACACAAAGGAATAAGCACCTATAAAACTTAAAAGAAACCACAAAGAAGACATGAATGCAGAGACCTATAAATTTTTAAAAGCTAAATAAATGATAAATAATCTAATACAAAATGTATATACATAATAACTGCCAATTATGCAGAAAAACTACCACTTTTTATACACTTTCCAAGTGTCATTTGCCTGAGTGTCTGTATAGACTTGCTAGGGCTGTCATAACAAAATATCATTCTTGATGGCTTAAGTAAAGGAAATTTATTGTCTTGCAGTTCTGGAGGCTAGAAGCCTCTAGGTTTAGTTTCTTCTGAACACATCCCTGTGACTATGTGTCCAAATATTATCTTATAAAGATACCAAACATATTGGATTAGGACCTAGCCTAAGAGCCTCAGCTTAACTGAATTACCACTTTCAAAGCTCTTAACTCCTAATAAAAACATATTTGGAGGTACTGTAGGTAGGACTTCAAAAAATGGATGGGGGGCAGGGGACAGGGATTTGGCCCATAACACCATCACTGACTTTTTATAAGGATAAAATGTTCAATAAGATAGTGTCCCTAAAAGAAGTGGCAATGTGATACATGTTATCATAGAAATAAGTAAAATTAGTGGTCAAGTATTTTGGGAGCACATAAGAGAGAGTACAGATTTTGCCTTGTGCAGGAGCTAGAGTGGGGAAGGCAATCAGTTTCAAAAAGCGCGTTACATTTGAAATAGATTTATGGCTAGGGATATGACTCAATGGTAGAGAGTTACTTAGCATGTGTGAGGCCCTGAATTCAATCCCAAGCACTACAAGATTAAAAAAGAAAAAAAAGTGAAATAGGTTCAAAAGGATAATCAGACATTATTTGCTTGGTGACAACACCCATTGTAGATGTGCCTAAAATACAAAATCACTAGTTAATTATTAAGATGTCATACATGATGAGCAAGTAAAAAACAATAAGGTACTATGTAAATATTTCATTTCCTTTTTATTAATAAGCAAAATTACTATATTCTTTATTCCTTCAGAAAACAAATTGCTAAATAAAAACCTAGGTACATAATACCTTCATTTGCCTTCTTTATACTCTAATGATTAGCAAAATATTTTCTTACTCCTTGTTGCATTCCTTCTGTCTTTGATTTCTTTGGGTTTTATGAAATAAAAAGTTTTAGATTTATTTTTCTGAAATGGGGAGAGAGAGAGAGAGAGAGAGAGGGAGAGAGAGAGAGAGAGAGAGAGAGAGAGAGAGAGAGAGAGAGAGAGAGAGCTTCCATAAAAATCTTACATGTCATCCTGTGATTGATGATTGTATCTGAAAATAACTATTACTTGTAGCAGGAACTAGATAGAATATATACTTAGTAAAGTTCTATAATTCTCCTGGGTTGAATAAGTACTGAATTGACTTGAAGCAGAATTCTTTATAGCTCTTTATTTTAATACCTAAAATATTGGTCTCAAAAGAAAAGATAACTATAACTTTTTATTATAATTAAAAACTGAATATCTTAACACAATATAAGTTTCTTCCATGATAATACATATTTTTTTAGTTGTAGATAGACACAATACCTTTATTTTATTTGTTTATTTTTTATGTGGTGCTGAGGATCAAACCCAGTGCCTCACATGTGTGAGGTAGGCACTCTACCACTGAGCCACAACCTCAGCCCCAATACGTGATTTTTTTAAAAAAGGTCTTAAATATAAGATGACCTCTATAAGTCTGAAATCCCTTTATTTAAAACTGCAATCACCAGGGGCAGTGGTGCATGCCTGTAATCCCAGGGGCTCAGGAGGTTGAGGCAGGAGGATCATGAGTTCAAATCCAGCCTCAGCAAAATCGAGGCACTAAGCAACTCAATGAGACCCTGTCTCTAAATAAAAAATACAAAATAAGACTAGGGATGTGGCTCAGAGGTCGAGTGCCCTTGAGTTCAATCCCCAGTACCAAAACAAAACAAAACTGCAGAGTAACTTTTACTTTCCCCCAAATTACTCAACGTATTACTCCTAGAGAGACTCTGTACTAGGGTTTTGTTGGCAAGCATCCTTCCCCCTAGAGAAGTTGGTTAGACAAGAATCTGATTGTGAGGTCTTTGTGGTTTCTGTGGCTCAGACTGTGATGATTGGATCAGATTTGTAACATATTAATAAATTATATTCACACTACACTTATGGCATGACATGGGAATAAAATCCCAACTCTTCTAATTACATTAGGAAGAATGAGATTATTTTCCACCAGAAGTAAGAATGCTTTGAATTTCTTGTACTTCTTTCAATACTTACTGCTGTGAAAACTACATCCTGTAGAGAATTATGAAACTATATGTAGCATTTATGCCAAACAAAAGACAGAGACTTTTCCTGGAGGAGCTCATAATCACAGTACAAGTGGTATCTTAATGACTTATGTTATTTTAGTTAATGAATCATTTTATCTTAAATATTAAAATGCCATACTCTTCCTATTGTCATAGCTTAACTGGAAATGACTTGAAAATGTTTTACAATTTAGCAGGCTAAATGTAATATGCAATCTTGGATTGGATCCTGGAATAGAAAAAAAAATTAGTAGAAAAACATAAAATCCATTTAGTTTGGCATTTAGTTAATAATATACAAATGCTAATTTCCTTGTTTTGACAGAGATATCCTGGCTATAGATGTTTCCATGAGGAGACACTGGATAAAGGACATGGAAGGACTCTCTCAGTACTATCTTTGTAACTTTCCATCAGTCTAAAATTATTCTGAAATTAAAAGTTTATTTTTCAAAAAGAATTTAGCAGTATGTTAAAGTTATATTTTCCAGTCTACATCCATGAATAAGTGTGCCAGGCTCACTATTGCAGTGATCTGGGGATTGGATTTGGGTATGGTAGAAAATAAGACAGAAGATGCAAACCAAAAAGACTGGAAACCAAGAGTGCTTTTGCTGTGTGAGGAGGTTCAGAGTTGGCTAAAATCTCTTGACTAGAGGGGAAATTCCTTTAGGTTTAAAATATAGGTATTCACTGATATTAGAAGCATATAAATGGAAGTTTTAAAAGAAGGTATTGCAATAAAAGCAAAATATTATGTAAACAAAAATGATGGATATAACACTAACGAAGGCCCTTTCTAAAAAAATAAAAATACTTTTGAAATTTAGACTCTATGTTAAATATTTGGAAACTGCCTGTAGAGGAAAAGCTAAGAAAGTTGCTGAATAGGCAGCAGGGCACAGTGACACTCACCTGTAATCCCTGTGATTCAGGAGGCTAAGGCAGGAGGATCACAAGTTTGAAGCCAGCCTGGGCAATTTAGCAAGACCCTGTCTCAAAATACAATATAAACACAAGGTTTAGGAAATGTGGCTCAGTTGTAAGTCATTTATTTGACTAGCATGTCCAAGGCCCTGGGTTCAATCCCTAATACCATAAATGAAAAAGAAAATAGGGTGTGATCTTTAAAATCTTTTCTACTCATATTTACAATTATAGCTTTGAAAATTTTTATATGAAGTACTAAAAGATTTTTTTAAAGTAAAGTTTACATTGGACCTTGTAGTCTGCTTCATCATGGTTTCCTGGATGTTCTCTTTCTTCAGTAATTTATGCCCCCTTAG